TCTCCAAGAGTAATTATTGCCTTAACCCAAGGCTAATTTACTCTTCCGTTTAAATCCAAAACTGAATTTATTTTTTTATTTGCGGCAAAGCCGCCTAATTTAAATGTATGGATGTTCCTATATGTATAGTAAAATCTAAATACATGCATAACTACTGCCCAGCCACATACGTATTCTTATTTGGGTATGGTCACACCATGCCCATCTGGTGTGGCACACACCCCTGTTACCAGGGTATGTGTAACGCCGTTCCATTGGTTGAGAAACGACGTAATGATGTTTGCCCGTCAGTCTGACAGTATTTTGTGAGCTTTAAATTTACCGGCATTGTTGTCTTTTTGTCATTTTGAGCTAAATACATCTTCCTGCTGCCAACAATTCTATTAAAGGTGACTATACAGCCAGGCCGGTACTCGTAAATATTTATATGGCATCATGGCTTTCTTGTATCAGACGGAACGTATTGATAGCGTGTTTGGCGATATTGGAGCACACATCCTATCATTGCAGATTGCGCTGAAGTTTGTAATTTTCCTTTTGTGATTTGAACAGTATATTATACTTAGTTTGGTAAATCCTCATATTTATTTGAGACCCTAATGAAGCCGTTCTTGAGTTAGTGGGAAAAGGGACTAGAATTCACAACGAATGCACGTTTTTTGCGTCTGTTTTTAATATTTGCAAGATGCTATTGCATATTAAGGCTCTCGCTCGAGCACGGGGCGCGTGACACTCAACATATTCGAAATGAAGCCATCGAGTTCGAATCGAAGGGTAACAGGGCTGACCCTGCAGTAATTCATGCTAAAGTAGCACCTTGGCTACATTGGTCCCGTTGTCGTGGCAAAACAAGGACTGAAGTAAACAGTCAGCAATATAAGAGGACGCGGTCACATTCTAAGCTCAACGGAAGCTTACAAAAGCCGTACCACGACAACGCTGTCACGAGCCACTCAGACGCAAAATTAATGTTGCTTTAGTACAGCAATCCAGTTTGAGCCGCTCGGAGCACTACAGGTTGACGGATAATTTTGCACCGCCCGGTGAGCGCGTCTGAAACATAACCCACGTCCGTATCTGACGCACGTCAAGATTCAAATAGAAAGGGACGCGAGACTCATGTCGCCATTAGCTGGTTCTGCTTATGAGATAGTTGAATCTAACTGCTACGTGGAAAGATAATGAACCTGCTTACTTACCAGGATAATGACCAGTATGTTGTGAAATGGAAAAGTTACCATCACTCCGAGAACTAATGGCTTTTGAGATATAATCGCAAAACTATTGACAGCACAAACAGGCGGTAAAGTCGAGCGCCCACCACAACGCTGATGTCGCGCGATTTCGCTGCTCCAAAGTGATGTAAAATGAGCTCGGTGCTATTAAACACGGAACGATTTCGCCGACAGTGAATACTGAATCGCTTAACATATAGCCAAAATGTCCCCTATGTTGTTGACAAAAGCAACCTCTTCAAAGGTTGCTGCAACTCTTGAGCTTGCAGACGGATAATCTACTCTTCTTTTAAAGCACCAACGACAGCTGAAGCTATATGAGCCATCATTAGTAACGAGCTGGACCATGTCGAAAGCTTTGCAATAGGAAATCGTAGCCCTCATTATTATAGGCACTGTGTGCATAAGACCCATTTCGTGTAGAGGGGTCAAAGCGTACAGCCATCTAATTCTCCGACAAATTATCCTAGATAGGAACCAGCAATGTTATCTGGACTTTGGTAAAGGCGACGGTGTCGCGTCGTACTCGAGTAGTCAAGGTGTGACCATTCTCATCGGAAAGCGCCAGCCTTGTTCTCTTCTTTGTTATGCCCTAAAAGCTTACAAATGTCATGCCGATAAATGAACGAGCTCATAATGTGCGATTTCTGGGTGGCAATCAACATTTTTATTCCCAACTGATGCTTTTTCGAGCATCGCTGTAAGACATTAATGGCAATCACTTTCTACAAACAAATATGCACGTTTCTAGGCAAATCTCGCTTGTTTTGTCAGTTTCGTGGAAATTTTAAGATTTAACAGCGCATAAATCCAAGATTAATGGCTCTCGAAATCGCCATAATTTTGTGCTATAACATTTGGTCAAACACTCACAGCAAGTCAATGCATACGCCGCTATGAACAAGCGTTAAGATCGACATTTAAAAAATCTTCAATTTGAATTGTCGTTCTGGTAATTTTTGGTGTACATATTTAGAATACATAAACATGTCCAGATATCATAGTTATAAAGTATACATAATCATAAACACGACAATATATGCAGAATAACCCAACAGAATCGCTCAACTCATATGGTGAGGGTTGTGTTGCTGGCATTGTCAAAGCGTAGGCTAAGCTGCTTCTTTTTAAGAAATTCAATGACGTTTAGCAATTGCAGATCTCGTGCATCAGCTGTACCGGTACGCTCCAGGTATCGAATAACGTCACGAAATGCTTTAAGCTGCTCCTTTGCAGTAATCTGCTGACTGCCAGGTAGAGATTCATCGTCGGCGGACAAATGGGCACTGCCAATCCGAGACCGATCAACAATTGGGGCATTTGGCACGCGAAACTCTTCGTCGTTTTCTTTTGGGTCTTCAATCATATCCTCATTTAACCGTTTGTGAATGTCATTCTCCCAGCGCGAGTTTACTAAAATTTTTGTATTGACGACTCCACTGAGTTGCAAGCAATAGAGCAGTCCCCAAAGTTCTTCCTCCACATTCTTGTCATCGCCTCCATCCATACTTGAATCCAAAGTAATTGGTGCTACAATACCAAGCGGTTTCCAGGCATTTACAATCATTTCCCGAGATGTTTGTTGCCATGCATCCACAATCCACCCCATAGCTTGCACTTGTGTCACATGGTAGATATCTGACAGCCCATCTTCAAGATGGTCAATAGCAAGTGTGAGATGTTTGAGACGATACTTGCCTTTAAACGCAGTGAGAATTCCACCACGCATGGGTTGAACCTTCATTCCAAGATGTGGAGCAAACATGACTACACGTACATTCGAAAGAGCGACGCATCCCAATACATGGGACGGAGCATTGTCCATGAGTAATACAACGTTTCGGTGTGCACTGGCCATCCGCGCGTTGAAATCACGTAACCATTGCTGGAAAATAAAGACAGTCATTCGTGCTTTACTACTGCATACATAGTGATAGCCGAGCTGTGAGATGGAAGCCATTTTGATATTCTTGGGAGGGACTACATTGCCAATAATGTAAGGCTCCATAAGATCCGACGCATCTGCATTCACTGCCAGCAATACCGTCAATCTTGCTTCATCTGCCAGCATCGACTGTGCTTCATCTCCTTGCACGAGTTTATTAGGTGACGCTCGAAAAAATAAACCCGTTTCGTCCACTGTGTAGACGTCACTGGGCACATATTCGCGCAGCATCTCTTGAATTTGTTCGAGTGTCAAGTCCATCGAGACTGGTGGTAGCATGTAGTTAGGATCAACCGAGACACCATTGGGTAACATGCCGTTGTTTGCATCCAAGATGCCTCCGTAAGCTCCACCGTCTTTGACTATCCCTACGCTCATACTAGGCTTGTCATTCTGAACATTATTAATACGCTTCATAAGTCCATGACGTGCTTTAAATGAGGCCAACCATCCATTCGAGAAGCCAAGTTTGCCTTCAAGTCCCATTTGTTTGACAAGTTCCCGACCTTTAGTCTTAATCATATCTCCCGTAATATTTCCTTTGTTCTGACGCTCCATGACCCAATTAGCTAAGACTTGGTCAAAGTGAGCATGACGTGTAGGTCGAATAGTCTTGCGCTGGGAGCCTAAGACTCCCAAGATATTGTCTTTAAACATGTGCTCGTGTTTGAGAATGTTACTCATCGTAGGCTGTGTAGGTGCACGTTGTAAATTAAACTCGAGCTTGGCCCATCGACACAAATCTTTCTGTGTAATTTTAGGTGTACTACGATGTTTTTCACAAATGCGTCGCTTTTGTTCTACAGTCAAATTGCCGCTGCCATCGGCACGACGGCGACGTGGTTTGGCTTTGGATAATGAAGGAGACGTGGGGATGCCCATGGACACCGAAACATTCGTTATATCAGCCACTTGAACGGGTTGGACTTGAGCTTTAATTTGGTCTTGATGCTCCTGTACTTGTTGTGCCAAAACCATGTTCGTAGGAGTTGCATGGTGCCCCAAGCTTACCGAGAGCAAGCTCACATCGGGAACATAAGTATTAGGACTCGAAGGCATCGTGCTGATAAGTTCTCAAGAGGGGGAATGAAGGGAAACTGTCTCGTGGCAATTCCTTTGACATTTGATTCAAAACAGATCTCCCACGCACCACAAACTTTTAACACATAGCATATTTTATCCCACAGTTTTAATTGGATGTGGTGTGGTGTACATGATCGCATAAACTCGGATATTTTGCGCACACAAAGTTTGACAGTTTACGGGATTTTTAAAAACGTTCTATTTTGGGAATAGATAATTCCGTACTGCGCCACGCTCGGATGCATGAGCGTTAAGGCGACATCGTTTACTTACGCTTGCGCAATTGCTCACTATCAAATCATTCTTGTAGAATTACATATGAGTTCTAGAAGTATCAGTTCACAACAAAAAGTATGTATTATGGTGGGAGTAGCGTAATTTATAACATCCATTGTTTTTCTAATTTTCAGATATCAATTTCTTAACGGTGCAAATTAAGTAAGATTCTATTTCTTAAAGTTATACGTTTAGAAATGTGCTAAATGTTCTTGTTCTGCTATCTCGAAGAGATTCGGCCGTTGATACTTCTACAAGTCGAGGAAAGAATTGAAGGCAAAACGGTAAAAGGACGTACATCAGGCCAGAAACAGCACTGTTAAGCTGACGAAGAACCTAACGAGACGACGGCTATCATGAGTTTTTGTTTTTATTAGAATTACAAGGTAACGATTATTCAGATCGTAAGCGCCAGGCAAACCACATAAAAGCGACAGTAACAACCCATAATACCAAACTAAATAAGACATTAATGTCTATGCACTGCACCATCGTGGAAGCGAGTGGAGTATGCGGTAATAGCGAAAAGTCTTAACACTTTCGATAAACCGCGTCGCTTAGAATGCTAGGAGACTTGTCGCCAACAAGTGCGGCGCAGGACTTTTCAATTTGATTTGCAAGCTCTTAAACAGCATCAGCACAACTTTGTATGAGAAAGCGAAACAGTACTACAAGAGCAACCACGACATGGGCAAAAGACTGACACTTTTATGAAGTGTTGCGATGAGGAACGCGTCTGTAGTTCACAGTTCAAAAAACTGGCACGTTGTGACCGATTTCGACAATTAGATTGACCATGGATGAGCACAATAAAAATTGCAATTCAAACTGGTTCAGTTTCGGAATGCTCAATCAATTTTTTTAACTACCAAGTATGTAAATGGTGCTTTCTCCGTTTACATACTGAGTTAGGCCCATTACGTCTATGTCTTTCATACGTTTGACAAAATGGGGGGGGTCTAACTTCAGCTTAGATTCACTCAACTCTTATGTGATGAACTATCACATCACTTTTTCAGTGTCTTAAGAAAAACCGACATCTTTTCCGGAGACAATGAAGAAACGATTGAAAAACTCTGTCGCGAGTACAGGCCTTTTTCATTAAATTGTGCTTTTTTTAAAAAATAGCAATTAGGGGCGTGCGCTCAATATGAATACGGCAAGTGCGAAGCTCACTGATTCACTTAACGGATATGTACTGGAGCGGCACAAGAATAATATAAAGGCAGGTTCATAAGATTTCCAGTATGCTGGATTGCACCTTGTCCGGTGTTCCTGGCCAAGCTTATGGTGACCATTAACCGCTAGTGATATCAGTCGCATTGTGGTGAGTACTCCGAGCTGGGTGATTTGGAAATGTCTAGTGCTGTCGCACAGACTGTCGTGGGCGCCACCGATCTTGGTGACGCATCTTTATGAATCACGCACAAACCTAAATGATCAAAATATATTTGTCCAAAGTCGTAGATTTCGAAGGATCAAATGCAGTTACTTAGATACGACACTTGCAAGCATTACTCAAGTGTTTGAGAAAAAATACTGCTTGTCAATACACACAAGTGTGTCTTTGGCATCAACAAAATCCTATCTTGGGATGCTTCATTTGGAAGCATGGCCTGCAGGCAAATCATGTATAAATCAAGCCAATAAAGATGCACTAGCCTCAGTCCAAGACTACATAAGACTTTGGCTTGACGTTGCTAATTACTTGCACATATAGAGTGCATGCAGCGGGGCTGCCGTAGCTAAGCGTTTGAGGAAGCGTACTTTAGGTCACCGACTATTCGATCTTTACAAGAACTAAGTATGAGTTAGCGGATCGCAATCCGCTTACTCCAAGAGTAATGTTTGCCTTCCCAAGGCTAATTGACTCTTCGGTTTAAATTCAACAACTAATTCAATTTTTTATTCTAATTTTTGAAATTAAAATTTTCCTAAATATATTAAATATATATGACGTAATATAAATACATGGCTACCTAGCCACATACCGTATTCTTGTTTGGGTGTGGTCACACCATGCGCATCTCGTGTGACACACACCCCTGTTACCGGGGTTCGTGTAACCCCGTTACAGTGCAGATAATATCGACAAGGCACAAGCCCTCGCCAATCTCCTTAATAAAATATCAAATAGTGCTAGGGTTCAGTAAAAAATGGGACGTTAAGACCGTAAGGAAACGTCATAAGTGCCTCAATTTTTATCAGTAAAGATCATCAATCATCGTCCTGGGGTGTTGTTAAATCCAACGAGATGTCGATGAGCGTGATCGCGTCATCGCCGATAAGTCGCGCTAACTTAAAGTGGCAGAAACGTAAGTCGGTCGTGACAAGAAGAAGCTTGATCTGGTCAGGATACAACTACTTGGCTCGATGCCGTTTTTGATATGAGTACGAATCGTACATCAATACACACCTCCGTCTTTGCTGATTATACCCCCGAGATGAGGCGGAAGCCAAATCGTTCAACGCGGCGGTGGGTGCGTTTTTTCGTCTCCACGATTATTAAATGTCGCTGTCACAATGGCTTCGTCATCATTTGATAAAGGACGAATATTGCGTCAATACTACATTTACCGTATTATGTGTTGCACAAAAATCAGAATCGGGAATATACGAGCTCAGATACCGCTTTATCGAAGTATTTGGCTGCACGCTCGCACAATTATACCATGTCTTAAGGCTTGCAGCACTACAGAACTTCCCAACTTTGCTCATAATGTGCGGTGGTATCTTTTGATGAGGACCTCGAGTACAGAATACTAAACGAAGAGTATGACACCCTTTGCGTGGTAGCCTCAATAGATAAGACTAATGCGGTTCGTGAGCGCTATGTACTGGTGACTCAACATGTCTATATAAGTAATTATCTGTGTCGGCGCGTTTAAAATAGTCAGCAGGTTAACCATTAGGTGCGTGCTTCGGCGGCCAGCCTGTCGGCTTCGGCAGAGGTGTTGTCAGCCCCTATTTATGTTTTTTAGTCTTTTAAAAGCCGCACCCGGCAATTCCGGCATGTTAAATCGTCTGGGCAAGATGGCTCGCCTCGCTGCTGTCAGCAAACTGTAAGAGCTGATGCTTTTGCAAGCTTTTCCTTGACAGAGTATTCCTCAACATCGCTTGTCGGTGGTCATTGTTTTGGATCGAAATCTGCGCTTCACATCGAAGTTTTGACGAACTCGGTTGAAGGTGCTGGCATTCAGATCAGACATGTCAAACGCTAATTACTCGCAGAACGATCGACCAGAACGAGATGAAGAGTATGCTCCTATGCACTTGTGTTGAGAGGCCGTAGTGGCACTAACTCACCGAGTTTGCCTTTAAAACAAACTTTATGCCTATAAAAACTTTACTCCATTTTCTCGAATTTGCTTGGCTCGCACTTTCACGAATTGACTCTGGACGTGATACTGAGACGCTGTCGCAAAATCAGTGAATTTATCTCAATAAGCCTGGGTACTATACTTTGAGGGCGTGACGCTAGGCTAACAGCGTTTGATAGCAACAAGCCGCTACCAAAGGCAAAAGAACTACACACAAATTTGCTGTGAAGGAAAGGTATTATTCAAATCTGCTGACCCACCTTCCCATGCTACCTCTGCAGTCTGTGGTACGTAAAAGCGACAACGCTCCATCCATTGCGGTCTAAGCAAAGAAGTGGTTTGACTCACAATCATAACTTCTCGAAGAGAATACGAACACCAATCTTCGATGGGGCTTACTAATGCCTGTTTGTGACCCAGGCTTTATGGTCCAGTCGAATGAGAGCCTTGTTGAAATAAAGCAGCGCTTATATATGACCTGTAACTGAACAGCTGAACAACTTTTTGCTATTCAGCAGCAATACAGTCCATAGTGCTAAGGGTGCCTCACACCATCAGGTGCGATGGCGAAGCGCAGAGTGCATATCCAATACGTGGCCTGTATCAGTTTTGGCCGAATCTTGCAACCGTTGAAGAGAGTCGACATGCCAACAAAAAAGAGATAGCCCACGAGAGCCAGTCGCAAGAGAAAAGACCCTCGTTGGCGATGCTTGATGAGCCAGGGGTGATATACTTCCATGTTAAGCTGCGGACCGGTGGGTGCACGAGGAATTGGTACAGTATCTGGCGGGACTGATGGGATTCCACGATCACACTTTGACATAATTCTTCTGGCACTATGCACTTTTGACCTGAAACACTCTCGGTATATGCCTTTATTAAAGGATGAATAGTGTCACCTGTCAAGCGCGGGATTTCAAAAGCGAGGAGGCTCGTGGAGCTCTGTGACGAGTGAAAATGTGTATATCGTCTAACAAGTGATATATAATTGCGATGCTCTTCAGCATATTCAACAGTTGCGATGGAGAGTAATGTTTTTCTAAACGTTCATTTTTAATGCACAGGTGGTATCACTAAGTTTTTTACATTTGATCATTGACGATGCGCGAGAAGCAACATTTTGGGGATCGTTTTGCTTTTAGTGAGAGAGGGGCACGCACGCATGAGGATGAGCGATCAAGAGCTCCGCCCCGATCCGGCGATTATCTTAAACGCTCTGAAATCATAACAATGACGTACAAGTAGCAATAGTAACCGGCATACTTGTTTGATACAAGCGATAAACAGTTGTTCAGCATCCATTGCTGTTGCAAAGGACAACTATTTCTTCTTTATGGGTTACATGCGACACACAGCAATACGATCGATGTCAGAGGAGCCGAAACAATAATACTTTAATGAGAATTGGTGCACAATTACTCGAGTACAGTCTATAGACAAAAAGATTTTTTGCAAGATAAAAAGGTGCTCTTTACACACAGTAAGCGGAGCTCTTTAATTCCAGCATTCGTCAAAATTTGTGATTCTTGACTTGGCTAACTGTAATACGTATATTTTGAAATGTAATTTGTACCATATGAATGTCACCTGGATGTACCGATGACATGTAAAAAGGTAAATGGTCATCAGATTGGTTGCTGTTTCCTTAGTGCGTTAGACAACTGGCTCAAATCTGGAGCGGTTAGCATAAATTCAACCGTTTGATCGAAATGTAGCATTGTGCGAGCCGGAACCAATGTTGGCACAATGCAATTTCTTCCAATTATAGTGATTGACAAAGTAGGAAATATAAGTACGTGCGAGAAAATGGCGGAACAACTTTTTTCCTGACTAGCCAAATGCCTCGTCTTCTAACTTGCAATACGCATTAATGGATAAGTGACATTTCTACTGACCCATTTTACTGTCTAGCAGGCTCACAATCAAGAAAACGAGCATGGATTGATCGATGGAATAGAAGACCCGATTAGACTTGTCAGACGTTGTGAATTGACTCAAGAGGTGTACATAAAGTACGAGGCTTTGTCGTCCGTGATATTACAGTCACTCTTTAAAAATTGAGCGGCTTCATAAGCGTTTTAGCTCCAGCGACATGCTTGAAATTTGTTACGGTTAGTTAGATCTCGTCAGATGAGGAATCTGGCAGGAGTGGCATATCTGTTGAATGATAGCTCAGGTGAGCTAAATGATGATATTTACATAAGATTATGCTGGATAGTAACATATTAACCGTATTTACTTTAACTCGCACCAAAGCCACCACAGCACTGTAGCGTTGGCCTTAGCGCCGTAAGAGAAAATGGGAGATACGCGACACCCTAACTTGCGACATGATACCATAAATTTTAATGCTATGCCATTTGTCTCTTCACTACAATCACCTTACAAATTCTATTTACTCTAACTGTCATCTGCCTTTGGCAGTTATTAGATCGTACTTTGCTTTCGGGCTTGTAACGACTGCATAGTGATATCTCGGCGCTTGCGTCGTAACAGAACCACCGCCGTGACGATTCACATTTAGTGGAAAAAGATGATTTCATTTGTGCCCTGAGAAGAGTATTCCCTGCAAACGCCTTAAACTTTTATCCTTCATGTTGAAAGCCAGCTTTCTATTGCAGCATCAGAATGCTCACGCTATAGTAGCGAAGTGTTAATGTGTTGTGCCTTTATCGTTCATCCAAAAAGCACAATGAGATAGATGTTGGCCTTATATGTTTCGTCTTGAGGACTCGGCTTTCTGCTTCTTTTGCCTTCCGAGCTCTGCCGCTTGAGCTTATCGATAACATTGAGATCAATTACGGACAAAAACATACCCAACTGAGGTTACTAAAGCTTTACGGCCACATCAAACGCAATTCGGCTTCCTGGCAGAGGTGGGCCCGTAACTTGTCAATGCTTTACCAGGAACAAAGAGCAGAACACCTATTCTTCAGTTTCAGTAGACCCATGACTTGTAGTGCTCCATCCACACTATGCCAATTTTAAATTTTCTGGCTGGACCGAGGACCTAGCAACATTTAACGCTGTCGAGTCTCAGCCTTCTCTTGAAAAACACCCAGCATTTTTACCGGTGTCCCGGCCTCAAGACCCGAGGATATCGTATCCGTATTTGGCATCTTCGTTGCCTCCGCAAATTATCTTTTGTTTTTGACAGCCGCGCGTCGTACGCAAGTGCACGACGCTTTTGAATCTATAAAATCTTTTCAAACTTGACAAAGTCCGGGACATTGGTACCAGCAGCAAACAAGTCTGAGCTGTAAGTGCCACCTCTCCGAGAGATCGCTGCTTCTTTTATAGCTGCGTTCCATTAATCAGGACAATAAACAAGTACAATCTTCCCTAGTAAGCCACCCTGTGCATACTGGAACGTGACGTGTCCCCGTGATGAATTGCCGTCTGAGCCTGAAAGCTCGACCCTTTGTACCTCTCAGCCAAGTGGCGTGCAAGACGCAAATATTCTGTTTGCTTTAGAGATCATATGCGAGGAACCTCAAGCTATTCAGCAGCTAACGAGGACCGCTCCGCTATCAGGCAGCTACGAATTCTACCCACCCTTCCACAGCAAGAATAAGGTAACCTCTGGCGCGCTTGTAAAGCTAAATTTGCAACAATTCATCCTAGCATTCACATAAAAAATGGGCTCCTCACTTATTGCTACACCCAGCGTTATCTAGTAAAGTCGGTGGACGCAGAATTTCTCGATTTGAGCCGCATCGGGTCGGAAATCCTCCATAAAAACGATAATTGTTACCGCCCCAGTAGAGGGCTGGTGCCATTGCGACGATTAGAGTCCTTACTCCTAGACTATGGATGCTAGCTCTCACCTCTCTTTATGGGTACACAAGAACTTTAAATACACCCGATATTCCCGTTTAGGTGATGTAAACACCACACAAACAACGTGCCTTTTTTTGCATGCAATCTCATAGCTCGGAGATCGTGAAGCGCTTTGACACGATTTGGTGCAAGTTTAATTCAGGAACATCCTCGCTTTTCTCATTCAGATGGATACAATATTCCGTTCCGACCCTCGGAGGCTTAATTTATCATCAGCAGCGGGCTTTCGATGGGACATGTCTTTTTCTCCACTGGCGCCTGGTTGAGACGTTGATGGACTTGTCTTGCGAGCATATTCTCACAGCTGGCGAGCGTTCCCAGGCAAAGCACTAAAGCCGCTCCCGACTCTTCGGCATTCATTTCCTGACCCAGTCAATCCGGGTCTTAAAGATAGATAAAAGCTTGTTGAGATGGTCTCTTGTCCTAAGGGCACTTAATCAAGGTCATCCTCGCAGAGGATACACTCGGTCATGAATAATATCAAGTTCAATCGGTTTGCCAAGCACTACGCACAAAATTCTTGACCCTCAGGCTCCACATTATCGAACGCCTTGAGGTTGCGTTCGTGCGTTCGGAATCCAGTGTCTCTGAGATATTTAACACTTTGAGTTTGCTCCGCTATTACAAGAGTTCATATATCAAAAAATATAATTAGACTAATGCTCAAGATCTTCGTTTAACTTTTTCTCATCATATTTTTTTCTATTCTGACGTGGTACTGTTGCTCCTTGAAGGTTTCGGAATCTTCAAAAATACCGATACTCTGGTACTTGAACGACTACCCGTAATTTAATAAACACAATTGCGCCCAAATGTGTGAGGGTTGTTTATACAAGACGTGTACCGAAACACAAATTGTATGGCAGTTATGATACGAAACTTGATGATAATCTTCAAGGCAGTCACTGGAATTGCTCAATGCAAACATCTTTCTTTTGTGCTTATCATGCGATCTATTTCAAAATTTTATTATGTTGCATGAACAGCTCTATGAATAGTATGCTTTTTACGACAATGACTCTTTAAACAAGCTCTTTGACTCACAACGAAGCCACATCATCGGTTGCGAAAGAATTAACTTCACCGCGTCCGAGTTTCTCGTGCTGCTATTTGTAGTCGAGTACAATAAATCCTGCGGAATGCACGCTGAGATAGGTGACAGATTGAATGAGTGACGTCTCACATTGTCACGTCTGTAACTCTGCGATCCTGTTCATACACGGGTCAAGCACGTGTTCCATAGGAACATATTGAAATGATGTACTCGTTCGAAGAGTAGACAGAGATTTAACACTACAACCCGATCCCCATCATGCGTACAGATTACTAGCGCACAAACTGTGTCGCAGGACCACCGACTAAAACACTTTTCTCCCCTTTTGATTGCAGAGACATGGTCGGTTTCCGTCAAATGAGAGAAAACAGATAGATGGTTGATTCCCAACAAGTGTTCATCATGATCAAGAATTATTTTATCGATAAAGAAAAGAAGGCAAGCATCGTTTTTTTAGCCTAGAATTTCCTAGAGATTTCTTGATAAAGTTTCAACCGTTTTTGACAAAACTAGTAGGATTTAAAATAGCACATATCTTAAGCTAAAACTAAATTTATGCCACAAGAATTTAAAAAGTTACAGACACAAGTTGCACATCTGGATTCGAAAAAAAGCACCAGATATCGATTTGAATTTACTCGAGCTGTATTACTTCGTATGTCAGAGATCTGTTGGACAATTGTTTCTGTATATCCTGCACTAACATCCGGTATGTATCCAAATATTGTGTAAAACGTGGACAGCTCATTGATGATCGTTGCTGAAAACTTAAGATATATGTTAATAGCGAGGTTGAGTAAAGCGATTCGAAACGATCAAAGTTTAGTCTAATGTACTCGATACATGTTTGGATTCTTCGAAATGCGTGCTTATTCGCAGCTTCACAAAGAATTTGTCCTGGATTTATCAGAAGCACAAATAATATACTTACCAATAACATTTGAATGGCGTGTAGTCAGTCATCTATAATGTGTGGGCTAGAATCTATTCTACCAGTTCATAACAAAGTTACTTCAAAACCAGCACTGGTTCTACAATTCGCAGCTATTTCGGTGATAAAGGCTGCTCAAAGAATCTATAAAAGATCGCTATTTTCTGGTAGCACCTCCTTGGAGATCGCTATTTTCTGGTAGCACCTCCTTGGAGATCGACAAACTCTGGTACTCAAGGTATCTTAGCACTACAACTCTAAGCAGCAAATCAAATAGAAGCAAGGTACTGGATGCATAATTAATTCGTGAGATCATACGCTACTCTACGTGTATGCATCTATAGCTCGCCAGCTACGGTTTAAGCTCCATGGTGCTTGTCCAAAATGCTCTTTTCTCATTTAATGATTCTGTACACGATACCTGAACATGTGGTCCAACATGGAACTAAATGTACGATCCCATGTCGCACTCCCGCTTTTCTATGCACGTCGTGTGTGCGCGTAATCTGCTTCGGTCTTGACGCGCACATCTACACGACGTGCAGTCATTGGCGGACTGGTAAATGTACCGCCAAGTCTTGCTGGGTGAGCAATTGAATCATTTCGAAATTTAAGCAGTGCGGACAAGGATCATACCATCACTCTTGTCTTGGAATTGACTTGATGTCCTCGGGCCCAGAAAAAACGCCTGGGCACGAGTCTGGTGCGGCTCTCATGGCATATGGACCAGAGGTGCTACACAACTACGTTGCAACGCGCTTTGAGGCGGCATTAGGTCGTACGATGCCACAGATGGAAGTGCGCTTTGACAACTTGTCAATTTCTGCCGATGTAGTGGTCATTGAAGAGGATGAAAACAAGACGGAGTTACCAACATTATTAAACACAATCAAGAAGAGTCTTGTCAAGCTGTCTGCCAAAAAGCATGTTGTTCGAAAGGAAATTCTACGCAATGTTAGCGGTGTATTCAAACCAGGTACTATCACACTGGTATTGGGCCAGCCTGGTTCTGGAAAATCGTCGCTTATGAAGATACTTAGTGGACGCTTTCCACTTGAAAAAAATGTAACAATTGAGGGAGAGATCACATACAATGGAGTGACTCAGAACGAGATGAAGCGCCGTCTACCACAATTTGTAGCGTATGTGACCCAGCGTGACAAGCACTTTCCGACATTGACGGTCAAGGAGACACTTGATTACGCCCATCGGTTCTGTGGCGGCGACATGTCGAAACGTGCAAAAGAAAAGCTGTCTAAAGGTACCCCAGAGGCCAACAAAGCGGCTATAGAAGCGGCACAAGCACTTTTCGCGCATTATCCCGATGTTGTGATTCAACAGCTTGGTCTAGAGAATTGTCAAGATACGATCGTAGGCAATGGCATGATGCGTGGTGTCTCTGGCGGTGAGCGTAAGCGTGTGACGACAGGTGAAATGGAATTTGGCATGAAGTACGTGACTTTAATGGATGAAATCAGTACAGGCCTTGACAGTGCAGCAACGTATGACATTATCAAGACACAACGCAGCATTGCCAAGAGACTTAAAAAAACGGTAATTATTGCATTACTGCAACCCGCCCCCGAAGTGTTTGAATTGTTTGATGACGTGATTATTTTAAATGAGGGAGAAATTATGTACCATGGACCACGGGAACAGATTGTGAGTCATTTTGAAAGTTTAGGCTTCGAATGTCCACCAGAGCGCGACATTGCTGACTATCTCTTGGATCTCGGCACAAATCAACAGTACAAATATGAAGTACCATTACACTCCGAAATTGCACACCACCCTCGGCTCGCAAGAGAGTTCGCCGAGCACTACCGTCGCTCGAGTATCTACAACAACATGTTGAAAGCACTTAAAGCTCCGTACGATCCGAAATTACTAGAATACAAGAGCATTGACATTGATCCAATGCCCGAATTCCATCAAACATTCTGGGATAACACACTGACACTGATGGAACGTCAGCAAAAGTTAACAATGCGCAACACGGCGTTTCTTAAAGGTCGTGGCATTATGGTCGTTGTCATGGGATTAGTCAACGCTTCGACATTCTGGAAAGTGGACCCAACGAACGTCCAAGTGCTGCTGGGTGTGCTCTTCCAGGCAGTACTGTTCCTGTCGCTGGGCCAGGCGTCGCAGATCCCGACGTATTTGACTGCACGGGATATCTTCTACAAACATCGAAGTGCCAACTTCTATCGAACAGCGTCGTATGTCCTCTCATACTCAGTGGCTCAATTACCAATGGCATTCGCCGAGACAGTCGTGTTTGGTCCAATTGTATACTGGCTGTGTGGTTTCGTGGCTTCAGCGACCGCATTTACTATCTACCTGATCATGCTGTTTCTCACCAATCTGGCATTCGCTGCTTGGTTCTTCTTTATTGCGTCGATCTCGCCAGATCTGCACATTTCAAAGCCAGTTGCGATGGTAACGATTCTTTTCTTCGTTCTATTCGCAGGATTTATCGTAGCCAAAAGCCAAATGCCCGATTGGCTCGTGTGGATTTATTGGATTGACCCGATCGCGTGGTGTCTGCGGGCCTTAGCCGTGAATCAGTACCGCTCGCCAACATTTGAGGTGTGTGTTTACAACGGAATAGACTATTGCACCGAATTTGGTATGTACATGGGCGAGTACTATCTGTCGACGTTCAACGTACCGTCAGCCAAGATATGGATTACCTACGGTGTCATCTTCATGGTCGTGGCATACGTGTTGTTCATGTTTTTGGGCTGTTTAGTGCTCGAAACTATCCGTTACGAGAGCCCGGAACAAACAACTTTGACCAAGAAGACAAACGACGAAAACGAGGCTGGCAGCTACGCTCTGCTCGCAACTCCAAAGAAAAGTACGGCAAAAGACGCTTTTACGGTCGAAGTAAAGGAGCGCGAGATTAGTTTCACGCCGATTACGGTAGCATTCCAGGATTTATGGTACTCGGTTCCTAATCCGAAGAACCCGAGCGAGAATTTGGACCTGCTGAAGGGTGTTAGCGGCTATGCGACGCCGGGCTCAATGACAGCGCTTATGGGATCGTCTGGTGCCGGCAAAACCACATTAATGGATGTGATTGCTGGTAGAAAAACGGGTGGTACAATCAAAGGAAAGATCCTACTAAACGGGTACGAGGCAGACGACTTGGCTATTCGACGATGCACGGGTTATTGCGAGCAGATGGACATTCACTCAGAAGCTTCGACATTTCGCGAGGCATTCACATTTAGCGCGTTTCTACGCCAAGACAGCAGCGTGTCCGACAGCAAAAAGTACGACTCGGTAGACGAAGTACTGGATTTATTGGACATGCGCGATTTCGCAGACCAGATTATCCGTGGCAGCTCGGTGGAACAAATGAAGCGTCTGACAATAGGTGTTGAGCTGGCTGCGCAGCCCAGTGTGATCTTTTTGGACGAACCTACGAGTGGATTGGATGCTCGTTCAGCCAAGCTAATTATGGACGGTGTTCGCAAAGTCGCGGACAGCGGGCGTACAATAGTTTGCACGATCCACCAACCCTCAACGGAGGTGTTTTACCTTTTCGATAAGCTATTACTATTAAAGCGCGGCGGTGAGACGGTATTCGTAGGAGATTTGGGTAAAAAATGCTCCAGACTTGTCAATTATTTTGAGTCAATACCTGGAGTAGGTCCCCTTCCAAATGGCTACAATCCGGCGACGTGGATGCTTGAGGTGATTGGAGCTGGTGTGGGCCATGCTGCCGGTACAACTGACTTTGTTCAGGTATTTAATCAGAGCGAAGAGAAGCGGAACCTGGATGCAAGTCTAGCAGAGAAAGGTGTTACCATCCCGTCATCCCATTTCCAAGAGTTGGTGTTCACCAAGAAGCGTGCCGCCAGCTCTGTAACGCAGGCACGGTTCCTCATTAAACGCTTCATGAACATGTATTGGCGCACACCAACGTACAACTTGACCCGTTTTATCGTGACACTCTTATTGGCGTTGGTGTTTGGCCTGATGTTCCTGGAATCTGATTACACAAGCTACCAGGGCATTAATGGAGGTGTAGGTATGGTATTTATGACGACGCTGTTCAATGGTATCGTGTCTTTCAATAGCGTACTCCCTATTTCGTGCGAAGAGCGTGAATCATTTTACCGAGAGCGTGCCGCACAGACTTACAACGCACTCTGGTATTTTGTTGGCTCAACATTGGTAGAAATCCCGTATGTCTTTGCAAATGGCTTTCTCTTTACGTTTGTGTGGTATTTCATGGTTGGTTTTACCGGTCTCGGCTCGGCACTACTCTACTGGTTAAATATCTCGCTTCTGATCTTGTTGCAAACGTATATGGGCCAGTTCCTGGCGTTCGCGTTACCAAGTGTTGAAGTCGCTGCTATTATTGGAGTATTAATGAATTCGATCTTTTTCCTCTTTATGGGTTTTAACCCTCCTGCGAATGCAATTCCAAGCGGCTACAAATGGCTGTACACCATCACACCTCAACGTTATCCGCTAGCCATTCTTGGCTCATTGGTATTCGGACGATGTGACGTAGATCCGACGTGGAATGAGAGCACGCAAGCGTATGAGAACGTTGGGTCGCAGCTTGGATGCCAGCCAATCACGAATTTACCAGTGTCGATTGACCACATGACGGTGAAAAGTTACGTCGGGTCTGTATTTGGTATGTACTATTCAGACATGTGGAAACATTTTGGATACGTTTTCATCTTTATCGCAGTATTTCGCTTGTTTGCTCTCTTGTCTCTTCGTTTCCTTAACCACCAGAAGAGATAAATAAAGTTTTGCGCAATAATAAGTCGAGTGCAGTATGGTGAAAAAGTAGCTCAAGCTCAGTATTAAATATATGTCGTTAATTGCTCAATGATTGCTATACTGGGTCTATAACTTTTAGATGAGTATGAAGCTTCGATCTTTGCAATAGACAGTAGCTTGATAGTCCTTGTCCAGGCTGTTATTCTCGTCCATCTTATTTGACCCACTGATATCAGATGAGAAAAATTGTAAGCTGTAAGCACTTCTTTCACTTGAGAGCGTGGCGTGAAGCACCATCAACAAATTCGTAATCGATGTCTGAGTCAGTACTCTTTGATTCTTATTATGTTGTACACGCAATTGTAGCAGTCGTAGATCTCTCTCAACCTCTACTTCAAAATTTGGGTGGTCTGTTGACATTATAAGCACTTTTCGAGCAGCATCGTCGCTATTTCAGTTGTATCACTTAGGGGTAAAACTTGTATTTCTCCTTAATAAGCAACCTTAAGTATTGATGATTTCGTACTTGCGTTAGCCCATACTTTTTCTCTTTCTATTGGTGTCGATGCATCCTTCTTCTTGTCAGCCTATTTTAAGCCACTTGCCCACACAACTTCACAGGATGTTTATTAGTGATTAGCATCTTTTATGATAGCTTTCAGCTCGGCTTTGTTGAGATAAGTTTTGTCTCCATAGCTACCGCCTGAGCTGGGGTTGAGATCATATCTATTACATACCGACGATAATATATTTAAACTCAGGATCCGAAAATATACAATTGGAGTAAATGTCTAGCTGGATGCTTAAAGGATTATCATTATTCAACTCACTCACCTTTAAACTCCTTCTACTCCACATCAAGAGATTCTAATGATTCCTCAAGGGATTATTACTACCCAGCTGGTAATAGATGTATGCTGATGAAGTTGCTCAACCTTGGATCTCATTGAGGTGTATGATCTAGCGCGACGGACAACTCCTTCAGCGGGGCGACGCAAGCATTCCTTGTTTAACGTCCCTCTTAGCCCCAAACACCACGCTTCTCTGATCGAGCATGTTATAAGATTCACAGTTTAGCGAATCGTGTACGCGGTGTCTCACTAGATTGACCAAAGCTTCTAGCCTTTATTAGTTATCGCTCGCTTCGCCTCATCGTATTTCCTCTGACCTTTAGGGATGCGACTTCTGACTTATCGTGGAGTTTATGCAAAAAAAATATTCTGCGGCCAGCCCGAACCCTATGTATAATGCAATTTCTGCTTCTGGGTGCTATCGGTTTAGTAATCGTTGGCATTCGAGATTTTCAGGCTATCTTCGTTAAGCCCGTTAAGGTTCGATACAACTACCGGTATTGCAGTCAGCTCATATTAATGCTGCGTTCGATATTCGGCTTGGCTGGTTCGAGCATTCGCAACTTCAACGTCCGCATTAGTTGGCAGCAGACCTTCGACATTAGCCATGACTATGACTTTGACCACCTTACGAACGAGATCGTTAAGATTACTTCGATTAGCGATATTTAATTCTGAGCTAGTGAATAGTCTTCTTGGCTATAAGACATGGTCGCTGACCAACCGCTTTTATATCGCTGACGTTAGCCGCTGACGGAGTGTGATGTACCTCAGGTAATTCAGGATCAGGATTTGAGCGCTGGTTGCCAGGAGGGAACAATCAAGCTTAAATTGTTTTCTAGTGAGCAAGAGATTTGCTACGATCGTCTATCGAGTGAAATTCTTGATTTTACCATCGCTTAAATTTTCACATATTCATACCTGAATTCTTAGCACAAAAGCTAAAGCATTAATCTTAGTAATGTTCATGATTCGTATGATTTCTAATCAAACATTGCAAAGCTGATTTATTTCTTTGGTTACTGTGCAAGAGAGAGAAAAAATCTTTTCTGTTTTGTGGTCTTTGTCTTTGTTCATGGGGCAATTTGTACTATGCTACATAAACAAAATGATCTCAGATACTTCAACTGGCTTACGTTTCACGACTTGTCTCATAGACCAACATTCTTCAGCGTCTTCTCATTCCACAGATTTCGTTTTCATTCTTCAATTTGTCGTACGAAGAAAAGATGTGGACAGAACTTACTTTTACGCTCCTCTTGTGTGTGCTCACAGCGGCTGAGAAGCCCGCGACGAAGCGGTTTACAGCGCTCACACCACCAATTTCTCTTATCCAGGGAGAAGTAAGCAACACGTTTCATCGTTTTGCTATTCCAAAAGGTCCTATTGCCGTATATCGTTTTGAAGCGGAAGTAGTGGAAAAAGATGGGGATGGCAACGTCGTGCCTGTGGCCACGTACGACGCGTATCTTCATCACCACGTATTTGGCAGCACTCACAAGCAGTACGATGATATGAAAAGTCGCTGGGCTCCTATGAAACCAAAGAACTTCAGTCGTAGTGTGGCATTTGGTGCTGGCACCGAGTGTCGTGGTACCCCTCAAGAGTTTTATTTCCCGTATGCTTTTATGACTGTGGATGGAGAAGATGAATGGCTGGCGAATGTGCACGTTATCAATACACGTAACATGCCATCTGAGCGCGCACATCGATGTCTAGAGTGTCCGTGTACGTCTGAAGATGAGTTTACAGCTACGAGTGTGAATGGTATTCCTTTTCGCAATGGCAGTTGCAATGCCCAATTGCTTTATGAAGAGAATACTGTTTGTTCAGCCACTACTTACCATGGAGGTTTACGTTGTTGCGAGAATGCCGAGTTTTGCCTCGAGCACAAGGAACTCGAAGTAGCGGAGGGCAGCAAGGCGGTCTACTACTTGCGCTACTCGCTTGAATATGCTGACATCGTGTCGGAAAATCGTCCGCTTTATCTTGCAGCGTGTTGTGATGCATCGGGGTCTCTCGAATTCACGGGAAACGTCGAATACGACGTGCCACTGTGTGATCCAGACACGCACCCTGGTTGTGTGCACACTCTGTCGACACGCCAGCGACTGGATCACACTCCGTTAACACGCCAGCTGGTGGATGATGATAACGATTCATTGTACGCGTATCGTCAGCATGCAGGATCAGCACGTGACGTGGAGCTGGTGTATGCAGTTGGTCACCAGCATCGTGGTGGGCTTGGTATTCAGTTATACGACGACGCGACGGGAGATTTGATCTGTGCTTCAGTACCCAAGTACGGCTCTGGATCCGAGGCTGGCAATGAAGACGGATACATTGTATCCATGAGCAGTTGCACGTTTAATCCGCCCCGAAGAATGAGTACGACAGATATTGTTCGCATTGTGGCGCTTTATAACAACACAGTGCCGCACACTGGAGTTATGAGTCTTATGTACATCGCTTTGAGCGATTTTCCGCTGAATGAAACGGCGTTGGACTCAACAATGTCAACATCTACGACTCTATCGCATCAGTCATTGGCAAGTACTAGCGAAATGCTAGTAGCCGGCGCTGTGGCGGGTACGGCAGTTTGTGCTTTGGTGATGGTGGTGGTTACACGCTGGAAAAAGCGGTCGGGTTACACTCCTCTGGCGCCCCAATCCACGTAATGTGGCTGTTTTTTGATTTCTGTGAAGTCTCTTTTGATTTCAACCAGCAATTATATTGTTCAACAATTGGATCAGATTTTATGCGTTAGATACTTAAATTTTTGTTGCCTTTCGCGCAGCATGTTTTGGCTTTATGATCTGTCGCTTTTGTACCTTGCTGCTAGAACGAACTTTGGGCTTCTTAGAAAGTTTGCTGCTACTGGCAGCTTTCGCTGCTTTGCGCGCTGCGTGTTTGGGTTTGAGCTTCTTGCCAAGTCCAGCGGCAGTAGCCTCGCGCTTAAGCTTCTTCGTTACCACCAGACGATCTGCATTACCATCACTTTTTCGCTTTAAATGAATACGCGCCCGTGCACCAGCCGAAGCTCGTAGCCCTTCATGCTTTTCCTTAGCAGTCTCCTCGCCTCGCAAGTTTTTAAAGCGTTTACCACATACTTGAACACGCAACTCGCGAGATTCCATCTTGAGATTACGCAGTGTGAGCGTCTTAGCCACAAGAGCCGGAGTTTTGAGCAGCAAGTAGCCAAAGCCTTTGCCAAGACCCGACTCGCGGTCACGAATGAGACGCACATTATCAATTGGCTCGGGCTCTTCATCAGTCTTCAGACGCTTTAAGAAAAACTGCAGCATTTGTTCATCTGTGCACTTGAATGGCACGTTTCCAATAAAAACACTTCGACGGGCATCAATTACAGGATCGGAGCGATCCACACGAATCTTCTTGTTAGCAAGAGTCTGCAACAAGAACAATAAAAATATTTACTCTTTCTCGAAAATAAATTCATATCGTACCGATCCATTGAGCTTCAGTGCGGCCTCTACACTCTTTTCCTCGGCAAAAGTCACGTAGGCGTTACAATTATCTTTGGCTGTAGTCAAAATCTTTTTATTGGCGCATACTTTCATCATAAGCTTCTGATTGCCCGCCTCATCCACTGCACAGCCAGCAATTGGAAGATGCCGAAGACGCACATTCTCAACTTTGCCGCATCCAGAAAAGTGGCTCTTGATGTCCTTTTGAGTGGCATCCAGAGACACATTTCCCACAAATATGGTACGCCGCGCCTTCGGGTCGTCGTGAGTGGTTTCTCCTTCTCTCTCTCCTTCTCCTTCTCCTTGACTTTCTTCTTTCTTCTTTTTTTTCTTGCTCTTTTTCTTCTTTACGCCGATCTCAACAGCTTTCTCTTCACCATTTTGCACAGTCTTCTGCTCTTTTTGCTTCTCATCCTTCTTTGACTTGTTTTTCGTAATCTTCTTGTCGTCCACTGTCTTTATTATTCCCGTCTCTTTCTCCACAACCTCTAATGCTTGCGACGATTTTTTGCCAAAAAAAGCGGAACTTTGAGCAAAGCCATCGGCTAACGCATCTTTATTCTGATTCTTTACCTGCTCCTGTACCACTTCCACCACATTTGGATCCAGCGTGGCTTGCGCTGACTCCACGGCAGCCGTCGGCGTACTCTTCGCCTTGCTCTTCTTACCCATATATAAATGAATGGACTAGGTTTTATTTCAGATATTTTAAAAAGAATAGATAGCTCACAAAAATATCATGTTTTTAACTTGATTGACCAAAGCTGTACACTAAATGATCTACAGATCTAAACCTCGGCCTGAATAAACTCCTTAATAGCCTTCTTCTGAGCAGAAAAATCCCGTCCTAGGTCCGCATTCAGCTGCCGCACGATCTGCATAATACAAACAATTTTCAGTACTTTCATCTGTAACCTTCAGAAGCTTACACCAACTACCTTTTTCACTGTTAACTCCTCGGCATTGCCATGAGCAATAATATCTCGGATTTTGCTGCATAAATCAGCGTCTAAAGTCTTAGTGTTTGACTTTGCTTCTTCGTTAGCATCACCTTTGGACTTTCCAACTTTGTCTGAGGACTTATCGGAATCTCTTGCATCAACAGCAGGCTCTTTAGATTCAGTAGCAGATTTCTTGGCAATCGACTCCTCTGCAATAGTAGGCTCCACAGAAGTTGGCTGCTTTTCAGATTGAGGCTGCTTTTCATCTTCAGACTGCTTTTCATCCGTATCAGCAGTAGCGTCGGACATTTTCTCGTCTTGAGAGTCATCCTCCCCGTCGCTTTCTACTATAGGAGACTTTTTAGGTCGTTTAACGATTTTTCGTTTCTTCGTCGGCTTCTTCATTTCTTCAAATTCGCTAGATGATTCTTCGTCTTCGGACTCAGTAACCTCGAGTTCATCTTTCTCTTGATCACTATCAGCAACAGTCTTCTTTTTACTTGTCTTTCGCTTCTTCTTTGCAGGCTCACTGTCGATCTTCTTGGTAGCTTTAATCTTTTTCGCACGCTTATTCATCTTCTGCTTCTCCTTCTTTGCTGCAATCGCAGCCTTCTTTTCAGCAAACTTTTCCAGATCAATCACATGATAGTTAGCAATAGATGCGTTCTACGTTACGAAGTTTACAATAACAATATTTCGCACTTTTGTTGCCTGTGGATTGTAAAGCCAGTCAGCCAATCGGTCAAGCAACGTCTCCTTGTTATGAGATTTTCCTTGCTCCTCAAAAGACTTTTTAGACCGATCCACCTTGTAGACATCACAAAAGCACAAGTACAATTGAATAAAATCCAGTCTTATCTTACAAACAAGATTCATGCAAACACGTTCATACTGCTAGTAGATCCATCACTTCGTGCACAAACGCCATTTTCCACTTGCTCATTTTTGCCATAAGTTGCTCACGTGACTGCGAGCACAAACAACAAGAATCAATTTTTTTCGATTCACAGACTATGTCATAGATAACAACAACCTTTTCGTCCTGTTCGATAATTCCCGAAAAGTCAAGAATGTGCTCTTTAATCACTTTCACCTGCGTCAAATTTCAGTGTAAGCATCACATATAGAAACAACATCCTCTTTCACATTCACATACATTCTTCTGCTGAAAGCGTCGACCATACATGATGTTATAAAGTTGCTTAATCATGTCCACTTGCTTCTTACCGAGTGCTTCGATCTACACCAAGTTAATTAAAATTAACGCCCTTCTTTACAAATCTTGCAAATGTTTACATTGCCTTACATTGTCCGCAATAAATTCGATCTCTCGCAGTTTAATGCCTTTGCCCACAGGTGGCGAGAACACATCCGGATCATCACTTTTAGTTTGTGAGAATGTAAACATTTGCGTCGTCTTGCGCACACGACCACCTAAACTCGTAGAAAGTGCCAAGGATGAAATCGTTGCATCATCTTGTGAGTCCACTGTCAGTGTTGATTCAGGCATCTGCGCTGATTCTATTGTCATGGCTGGCTCGCGCGCTTTTGGCTTGTGACTCATCTTTGCCGCCACCAAACAAAAACTAAACATTTAGTATACTTTTTAATAGGTACTTAATTCTTACACATTTACTAAGTACGCTCGTTGTCGATGTCTTATCGATGACATGCTTAGTCTAGTGGTCTTTCATCTTGTTACCTCCACTAATACTCTCAGTAACAATACTATACTTTTGTTATCACCGGGATCACATGATGACAAATAACTGCATTTGTCAAGAATTTAAATGTTAAGAATCGACAGACTGAATCTTTCAGTCTCCAAACTATCCAGGACATTCTTAAAACTGTAACTTTGACAGTCACTTACGGACTGTATCTACGTCTACTCAACGTATACCCACTCACTCTTCGACTCTCCGACACGCCGTCGGTCCATGACGGAGACTGTAGACTACCATGCGCTGTCAGAGCAGAATACAATCTTGGGGCATCGTGCTCAGCGGGTGCGTCGCTCGACTTCATTAGACCCATTCTCGACTATGAGTACATCTAACAAGATGACACCACAGCCTAGTGGTTCTACTGATGAAGCTATGATGGATCTATTAGATCTTGAAGATGATTCGGTGATTTCTTTACCTCGTGGCACCCCCAAACCACTTCCAACTGCTTTTTTAGGATCTGGTTACGGCCGCAATTCGTACTTCACATGGCGTTTGCGCATGAGCACGTTGTTAGTTGCAACGCTTGGTACAGCAGGCATTGTAACTTTCTGGACATCCAATGATATTGGACATGGAGGCGTTTTCGTACGCGATGTGGGCTATGCTCTGGCTTTCCATCGCACTAAAACTACTGCATGTATTGCAGGTACAGATTATTGTGGAGCATGTGATACAATTGTTGTGTATGCCATGCTCGTGTATCACGTAGCACCGCTGCTGGTTATTATTGGTCTTCCTGCATCTGGATTGCGAATATTTGAGCCATTTCAAAGACGTCGAGACCTTGATGGAGGTGGACGTCAAAAGATTCAACGCTCCGTCTTTTTCCAAGGTTGTGAACTCTTAAGTGTCGTCGTATTGGTCTTTAGTCTATTGGTGATCTTGTACTATGTCTATGCCCTATTTCAAGGCAATAACTTTTATTGTAAACAAGTTCGTGCGATTCTATACGTGACGTTTGCCGTGGGGACATTTTTCGCGAATTTTGTAGTACTGACGTACTTTGCACGATTTCGAGAACATCTAAGTATGCAGCTAGGAGCGTTTAAAGAAACGGATCAGACTGGTGGCATCCGGTCACGACTACAACGTCGACATAAATACAAGTCGGAGCGTGCACGTGTAATAAATGATTTGCGAAAACATTTGTATAAGGAAACTTCACTTGGAAATTTACACAAAATTGAGACGCTTCTTCAGTACGCCAAGGAGCGTCTTGGTACAGAGTTTGCGCATGAAATGTACAACGATGCCAAGTTAGTGTGTAAACTCTTTGGTCGCTCAAAAAAGAATCCCCTACATGTGGCTGCTTATTTAGGAAATACTCAAGCATTGCAGCTCTTTGTAGAGGCTGGATTTCGAATTGATAGTTATGATAAAGTATCTCGTGTTCGCTTTACGACAGGTGATCTCTTTTGGACATTTGCACAAATTTTTGTATCAAAACCTTATACCATTGAAGATGAAATGGCTGCATCGATATTTCGTACGACACTTGTGACACCACTACACTGTGCTGTAAGTACAGGACAGATTCAAGCTGTTCAATGGCTGATCGAACACAAAGCAAATGTAAATTTGAAATCCCGAGCTTCATACTGGTCAGATCGACTCCCACCTCTCTTTGTAGCGGATAATCCAGACATAGTGACATTATTACTTGAAGCAGGTGCCAATCATCTTGAAGTGCCTGATCCAGGTCATATGAACACCCTTACAGTATTACAAATGGCCTATATGCGTGGTAACTTTCCCGTGGCTCACGAATTGGAGCAATGGGGTGCAGATGTTGCACTCACGCCTTTACACGAAGCAGCAGCTAAAGATAATACCACACTTATCAAAAAACTTTTAAAAACCGGAGCAGATCCGAATTGCGTGGGAGAATATGGATACACTGGCATGCACCGTCGTACACCATTACATTGGGCCGCGATCACTGGTGCCACGAATGCTGTTAGTATGTTACTTGAAGCTGGCGCGGATCCGGATTTTCAGGATATCTTTGGTCGATCTCCTTTACATTGGGCTGCACGAGTGAACAAACCAAAAGTTGTTGAACTGTTATTATCTAAAGGTGCCGATGTAAAGCTGCGCGATTATCGTGCCCATACTCCATTGTTATGTGCTGCTTCGTGTAAAAATGTAACAGCTGGACTGTTTGATTGTTTGGTCGAACATGGTGCAGATATTGATGATCGGTTGCCCAATGGAGATACTGCACTTCATATTGCTATGAAGTGTGAGCAGAAGGGTACAGCATTAGCTCTTTTGGACTCAGGAGCTGATGTCATGGAGACAAATCGAGATGGTTATCGTCCTGTTGACTGCACGACGTCCACCCAACTTCAATTTGAAATTAAACAAGCAGCTGGAGACCGTGATGTGATGATCAGTTATACGCATTCACACAGTATGTTTGCCTTGAAAATTCGTGATCATTTAGAACGTGCGAATATTACGTCGTGGCTCGATCTTATGGATCCTACTGGCATTGGAGGTGGATCAGTCTGGCGCGAAGAGATTGCACGTGGCATTAAGAATGCTGAAGTGGTGGTTTGTCTATATACTGAAGATTATCCGGTTTCCGAATGGTGTTTGAAGGAATTAGCTCTAGCGAAACAACTTGGCAAACCAATTATCGCAGTGTCAACTGAGAATGCTAAAGTGACAGATGAGATGCAAGTGTACATTTATACGCGTCAAATCATTCCGTTTGAATCAGCAATTACAAAAATTGACAACTCGAACAAGCGAAAAATAGTGTACGACTACGATGAAACGTTATTTGCTGGTCAATTTCGTTTGTTACTGGATGGTGTGCGTGATGAGATTGAAAAACAACGGGAAGCCAAATTTCATGGAGAAAATCGGCGTCATTTAGCTAACGGAACGAGTGTAACAGGATTCGCTGATAATATATCGGATTGGAATGCTGCGACTTTAGATAATATTCAATTTGCTTTTGTATCACATGGAGATCATCATCATAGTTTTGTCAAACGATTACATGATCGATTGAACGATAATCAAGTTCGGTGTTTACTAGATGGCACACAAACGTACGCAGATATGACCGAGCGGATCCATGCTGCAAAAGAGGCGATATTGAAGTGTGACGTGTTTATTGTCATTCTTTCACGAAAAACTGTTAATAGTGAGCTTGTAAAAGACCAGCTAGCGTTTGCTGAAGATAAAGGGAAACCAATATTACCCGTCATGTTGAATGATATGGAGATTCCATTGGATAAACACTATACACTCTCAAGACTTGAGCTCTTACATTTCACGCCGGAATTGGGCTTCAATTCGAGTTTTATGCAGCTGTTTAATCGCGTTCGGGACAGTATGACACCTTCAAACGCATCATTTATTAAACCACGAACTTCAGCCCGTACAAACTTTCGTGCTGTTGCCCGAATGACGGCAATGGGACATGGACGCCAAAATACAAATTTGGCTGTCACAAATGCTGCTCGTGCTTTTTTGGGACGTCCTCGACTATCAGAAGCTTCGGTGACTCTCGTTTGATGAATCAAGTACTTTAAATTACTGCTAGATCTTCTAGCAATATAACTTAAAATCCAGTGTCCTTTACTAGAAACACAATTTGAATCCCCGTTCCCCGTTGTATTGTCTTGCTAGCTCCAGTCAGCATCATTGAGATGATATATGTCAGTCTATTGCTAGTCCAATTTACATAAGATCTGGCATGACTACTCACCTAATTTGATCCGATCTTCATCACGCTCCCTTGCTGAGATGTTCCATAGTAAGTGGTAATCTACACTAAAGATCAAAGATAAGACAAATTAACAGTGAGCGGCCTGCGAAACAAACACCAGCAGTACGTCACGAAATTTGGTTCAGTAGTTTTTACAAAAACTAATTTGAACACTTGACAGCTATTGCATAAAGCGAGTTGGCTGTGTAAAGTGTTTAAAGTGGTCGATAACTGTGATGGTGCCTTCAAGTGTTAAGAGTTGGCGAGCTTCAGTCTGAGGTAAGGAGAATCTATACGCACATATTCGTGCACATTCGATCAGTTCACTTCTGCATACATCAGTTTTGAGGAATGATCTATTAAAGGTGTAACCTCCTTTAAAATTTTCATGTAATAATGTACGAAAAAGATTCTGCTACTCGAAAGTGACAGACACATTGGCTTAATGGCTCCTCTGATATCTAATTGATCACAACGACAAGTATATGTGCATGTAACGCGGTCTTAATCTGCATCGAATCGACGATGTTCAAGAGTGATGTTAGTATAAATGTGTCGAAAAGTCTCAAATGATAAGTTGAGCCCTTCAAGCTTTCTCAATATCAATTACATCTGCAAAGCACAGCAACTAGTACCTGAAAACACGCAGCGAACTTTCATTTGACGTTTTGAAAATCATTTGAAGTCGTACGTTCATTGAATAGATAGATGCGAGCTTTATTTTCATGAGCGTCAATCATTTTGTACAAAGGCTCTAAGAAGACGACCAGTCTCGGTGAAGGCCTTGAAATATGAACAATATTCTGGTAAATCAGCATACCTCCTACTTAAAGTGATCTTAAACATTCGAACACCTTTCATTTTGATTCAGATGACTCACGCAAATACCGCGCAAAGTGACGATAAATGTCCTCGCCCGTGCTCCACGGAACAACTGCCGCCTTGACCATAGTCGGATATTGATCGATCCGGTCTATTAATCCAAATGAATGTCCATTTGCTTCATTCTCTCGTGCAAACACAACATCATTTCTACAATACATTCAAATAAGTATTTCAATCTTTACAATACTCAAGTACGACACGTACTTTGTTAAACGTGTTGCAGCACAAAAGTCGCCCGATCCATCACCGACATACAACACCGTCGTATATGGATAACTTTTACGCATATTATCGATGATTTGACCTTTGCACATGTTTGATGGACACCATTTACATCCATGAGGTTGAAGGCTTTTGGCATAGTACGGACGCACATGAAGACGCGTACGTCCATTAGTCATCAATTCGAATGACGCAGGATTTGTGACAATCTCGCTTACACTTTGCTCTAGATGATGATGAGTTAGCATGCTCTCAATATAAACCGAATTTGCATCGCTGACAATCTTAACATGAGCATGATAATGCTCTGCAGCGAGACGAAGCGCGTCAAGCATTTGTGATTGGATTGGGACACGACTTACTGTCGCTCGAATCATATCGGGGGAGATCTCTGGCTTATCTATTGCTAATTGTCTCAGCATATCGTCCATAATCTGAGTCCACGATTGTTCTATCTTGCGTCGATCGTGCAATGTGGCAAGAAGATCGGGGTGGAGTTTTTGAAAGATATAAGTGTCTGAATTTTCGTTGATCAAAGACCAGTCATAGTCGAAAATAACTAATACTTTGCTTGAGGTACGAGGATTGAGTTGAATTTGTTCATATGGACGCTGGCAAAACTGTATCAAGTAGCGGTAGATATCGTTCCCAGTGCTCCAAGATACAACATTGGCGTGGAGAACGCCAGGATTCTCGTCTATTCGTCGTTGCAATCCATAAGGCTCTCCAACAAGACGGGAGCGTGCAAGTACAATATCGTTTCTATAAATTGGATTAACTGAGTTCATCATGCTAGCAGAAAGAAATCATGAACGTACTCAAATAAGCGAGATGCGGGGCAAAAGTCTCCAGTGCCATCCCCAACGTAAACAATGCGAGAATATGATTTCTGGCGTCGAATTTCGTCTACGATGCTGCCTTTGCACATATTTGCTGGACACCATGAGCATTCGTGAGGCTGTAAATGATCGGAATGGTACGGACGAATGCGAAGTCTTGAGCTTGTATTATCCCTGTTTTCGAGCTCAAATGGGTTGGCAAAAACTTCAATCACATGCTTTTGAAGCTCTTGAAATGCCAGAAAACTGTTGATATAAAAGGTGTTTCCATCACTGATAATCTTCACGTCTGCATGAAATCTCTCAACTACCATACGAATTGCAGCCATCATTTGTGCTTGAACAGGAATTGCTGCAATTGTATCACGAATAAGCTCTAGCGTGACATGTGGCTTCTCGTTCATTAGAATTTGAAGCATTTCGTCGACTACTTTAGGCCAAATGGGCTTTTGAGCATATCGTTCGGCAATTGATTGGCACAATTCAGGATGAAGTTCTTTAAAAAGAAACACATCTGAGTTTGTGTCTACTAATGAATCGTTAAAATCGAAAAGAATAAGCAAGTTGTCGGTATCACGACGTAGGATTGAAGAGGATACAGTGTTGATGATTGCACGACGTGCTGGATCATGGTGATCAAACATTTTGTAGAATTTGAGTGCTTTAATGTTTATACCGGTCACTAATATAACTCAACTCTATATATATATTACAATGAAGTTAATTACATCCAATCACTCCACCAATATTTTTGAGTTTTGACAAATTACGTACGTATTAACTCGTTTGTAGGTGGTAAGCAAGAATTGGGCAGTAGAATTTGGAGGCAAAAGCTCCAGATCTTGTTCACGTTTGTACTTTACTAGGCTAGGACGGCATTGATCTGTTTAATGCAGTGTTGTGACAAGGTTGGGGAATGTAGAGTCTCCGATCGTGCTGAAATGAATCTTTTCGTTTGGGGCCTCGTCGAATCTGATTGAATTAGTTCAGTGTGGTATGACTATCGACAGATAGATAACCATCTACGGCATGCTGCAGCAATCACAGCGCAACAAAAAATGAACGAATTATTTGCTGTATTCAAGTGATTGAAGGTTGAGTTATCAATTGGATTAACGAAGTCCTGCTTTTGCTCCATGACATGCGACGTGGCAGTACACGGACGGTTGTAGATCAAGCTCAATTGATACCTAAGGCTGAGAGTAATTTTGTGATATTTGTGATATAATCCATATAATTTTTATTATGGACGTCGACTAGCGCGAGGTTGGCACTGAACGCAAGTGGCAGCAAGCAGAAAACTCGAAGAGGATAGAAGGCCATAATTACATTCTTGTCGCTTTATTAGTTGTTTCGGTAAATGGAGATTCCAATTTATTTGGAAGTATCGTCAGTCAATATCAATGGAGACCATGTAACCCGAACCTTAAGGCAAGGTAATAAGGAGGGGATAGATGAGGAGGAGTAGGCAATGAAGAGAAATTCCAAAATTCGTCAGAAGTGAATTTTTTGTAAGTGAGCAGTGCGAAGAAGAAAAGATGTATGTGTGTGATGAAGATGAACTACGAGTGTACCTCGTCAAGAAGGGCGATATTTGGCTGGATAGAAATGGCGACAATTCAAAGGCTTTGCGTAAGTGGATCCGCTGTTGTGAAATAATCAAACATACGTCTTCGGAGATAGAGTAAATCCCGATTTATTGAAGATTTCCCCGACATCCAGCAATTTCGTGATGCTTTAAGCCAACATACTATCGCGAAGACGGCATCGGTATCAACCAAAACGAATTTAGACAAGATTCGACTGACGGTTGTAAGAGAGCGCTATTCACAACATTCCTCAAAACACAACACGCACGCTCGTGCGACGAGTAATTGTGGTATCTAAAGGGTTAGCCCTGGCTGAACGAAAATTTACTGAAGCTGAATGCGGTAAATGTGAAGCATTGACAAAAGCAAACATGGTGACGGTTTTTTTTGCGCGATGGTTGCGTAAAGATAATGAGATATCGAGGCCTTGAACAACGCAATCCAAGCTTTAGCTTTCTGCACCCAGAAAAATTACGTGTGGTTTTTGAGTCCGCGAACGTCAGACAAAAAGAGCTGAACGTCTGTGTTAGTGAGCTTCAGAGCAGTCAGAATTAATCTTGAACCCTCCACCTTCGAGCCCAGACATCGCACAGATTCTAAGCGAACGTTTTCACTGGTACAATGTATTTCATTTTTTCGATATAATTATTGCCTTTTTTGTATGAAACTCCTAGTCTTATAAGGGCTAGTAATGCATGATCTATACATACTGAATCCTTAATTTTACGATCATTAACATCGCGTTCACAATCTTTTTGCGAGACGAAAGCCACCATCACTACTCTTCCAAATACCGAGTGTATAACACAATGGAATGAGAATGATCTCTCGCAGCATCGTGATTGTCGCTGAGACCACACCAAGTTTGGAACCTGGCACCTCTGTCCACTGTACCGCGACCTCCTGTACACAATTTCAGAAACATCTTATCTTTATGACAAAATCCATGAATCTTACCTTAATTGTCATGTTTTTGCTAGCAGCAAGATAGAGAAGTTCGACATCAAATGCCCATCGCTCAATATGCATGGGTGCAAATAGTATTCGTGCTGCTGTACGATCAAAGAGTTTAAACCCACACTGCGTATCTCGTACATTTTTGATGCAAAAAGTAGATACAATCAAATGGAAGCCATGCATCAGCAGGTTTCGGAGCGGGTTTCGCTTAGCGATCGCTTGCTCTTCAAGATGAGCACGACTCCCGCATACGACTACACCCTTCGAGCTTGCAACTTCGTCCATCGCCTTAGCCAATTTGTCATAATCTCGAATCTCCGTAGCATTGTCTGCGTCTATAAACAGTATCCGTTCACCTCTCGATCGCATGACGCCTTTGCGAATTGCTCCACCTTTTCCATGATTGTGTTGCAACTTTAAGAGGCGAACACGTTCCACTGAGTACTTTTGCACCTCATCCATAACTACTTCTACTGTTTTGTCCGTACTGCAATCATCCACAATGATAATTTCGTACGTGAATAGAGGATCCTTTTGTTTCTTTTCGTCCAAGAATACAATCGTATCCTTGATGGTGACCAGAATGCGCTGCTCTTCATTGTACGCAGGTATCACCACAGTCAACGCCACTTCAGCTCTTTCGTCTCCTAACGACGCAAATGATAATCTGTACGCACACAAAAACGCAAATCAATATCGTTGTACACACATATTTTCGTACAATAGTTGAGCGCACTTCTGATTGTTGGCATTCGGGTCTTGGTACGTTGCTTCTTGTGGTGGGTCCATTTCCAAAGCGAGCCGCTTGGCCTGGACGATAGGCACACAAATCCAATGAATAAACAGTGCAGAAAATACTGCTACAGCCCCAGATACGAGCGCTGTATCAAGCGCGACAAAGGTCAAGACCATGACAATGAAATGTGATGACACGTAGGCGAGTTTTAAATAATAGACCAAATTGTGATTTAGTCCCACATTTAGTCAAAATAGTGCACTTGGTTATACAAGTGAGGACGCATTGTCAACGTGAGATGTCATTGGTTTGGCTACACTAAGATGTACCCACTTATTGCTGTCGCCCTTCGTAATGAAGACACCCCAATTTTGGAGCACACCACGGTCGAATGGAGAGCGTTTGTCGGGAAGATTTTGTAAGTAAGTGATGGATAAGCGGCGAGAGAATTCCCATGAGGTCTATTGGCAAAGAGTTTCATGCTGTTACTTCAACGTGTGATTATATTTTGTAAAACACGCACCTGGTTTGTTGAGATGAGATAAACTTGGAAGCTTAAGAGCGGAATGACGATGAGTAGTACACACATAAGGAAGAACCACAAGATAATAAACAGTGTGTTTGTCTTGAACCAGTCATTCACATTATTTTCCTCTGTAAACGCTTGTGATGTCACTTGAATCATCACAATTGCTTCGACAATCTGAAGAAACAAATACAGCAAGAAAATGCGACGATTGTTCTCACCCACACAAGTTCCCACGCAGTCACAACTATAAATGTTCAACCCACTCACATGTCACGCTTCTAATAATTCAGTCACTGATTATTTACGTACTGGTGATCATACTGTCTCGTACATCGAGCGCAGTCCTTACTGGACACAAGCAATAACATCAACGTCGAGTTTAGTCACATAATAAAAACAATGTCAATTGTTATCCTACCAATGTTTCGTTCTCAATGGCTGAAACACATGACATTCGTTGCAAAAGTGCAAGTCCACGCTATTCCTCGTATGTTCATTTTCCTGTTCGTCACCTAATAATTCCGTGTCGTCTCTATCTTCTGTGACTACGTGTGGTGACTTGCTACCTTCAGTTGGTATTGTAGCGTGCACAGGTGCTAGCATTAGCCTCTTATTGAGATGTCCTGGTGACGAGAATTGCAGTATCCCGTAGCATATAATAGTCGCTCCTGCCGCAATTATATACGCTACGAAACGAGGGGTAGACAGCACTTGCGGACTCAATTCGCCCTTGACACCCAGTAACACGTAGCCGTAAACATGTACGCCTAGCCACCAAATCCTGGCGTACCACTTACGCAAGGTTGCAGCACGCACAGGGTTTTCGATATTCCTATTCCGCGCCATAGTGTGCGAAAAGTTTACTTGAAGAGGTTTTTAAAGCAAGTCTATATTATTGATACTAGCATGTTGCAAAACAAAGGTTGACGTTGCTTAAATCTATGAGCTTACATCATCCCCACCATTTCAGCTACTCGTTCTATATCAACGTCCACGCCATGTCTACATACCCGATAGAGAATTACTAACAAAAATAGTGTAGCCATGTCGACAAAACGTACCCTTTCAAGTTCGAATCTTCAGCTGATGACATTGCTGGTGGTGGTGCTACGTGTTCTGGCATGGCCATTGTAGCCTCCTTCGATGCATTGAAAGATGCTTCGGCAGACGAGAGTATCAGTGGCGCTCCAATTGGAGCAAGAGGTGTAGTCGACGGTACAGCAGGAAGAGATTGAGACGATGCTGACTCTAGTGGTGCAGCTTTGGTAGATAATTTGCCGGACGTACTGGTCTGCATCGCCTTTATAGCATCTTTCTGAGAAGTGCTGAATGTAAACGACTGCATACTGCCAGTGACAGATGATGTACTGTCGGTATATTGAACAAAGCCAGAGTCACGAGCCACTGGGTTCACGCAAGGGCCTAACTTCGTAGCCGCATCAGGAATATGCGATTCAATGTCTATAATCCATGGCGCTGTCTCCTCTTCTCGATCTGCAACAACGTAGTATCACATGAAAATCTATTTGAATATAAAATCACATGAGAACTTACTCAGAATACGCCAATTGTCGCCTGACTTGTCTGGGTCATTAAAGTCGTAGACTTGAGACCAATGATTGTTTGTTGGTTCTAGTCTTGCATCTGCGAAGTTCTGGCACAGATATTGAAAGGGTAATTTAAACATGACTGCAACATTTTGTCAAATACCCGTTCGATTCCGCAGTACGCCCCGTTAAAGGGAGCAAATGTCATTTCCTGGGATGTCTCGATGATTGGATCGGTTAAGGAATAAAGATAGATTGAGCAGTCCGAGCAGTCTCGCGTACGAAGCTGCTTACTAGTTGCAACACAATGATAATAGCGTTAAATAGTAATTTCAATACATATACAGAACTTGAAGTCATACCACGCGATTGTGAATACACAGTTGGTGCAATTACGAACGAAAACGGACTCTGAGCTGGGACCTACTCGCATTATCTGTAGTAATGCACAAGATCATCTAAACAATCAATTTAATCGACATTTTACCGACAAATACACGGCAATTTGACAAGTGATCGATTTGGACTTGATTAATATGGTCCAGCAGCATAACTTGGCATCCTTCCAAGTCCGAGACATCAAAAGCTTGCCTGTGTTTCCACCTTTAGTAATTCATCGGTATGTATTTTAATAAAATTCACAATATACCCATCAATCTGTCCCGGAAGCTTCATCAATGTTTCATTTACTTTGTTCCGGAACGTATACGTAAGCTCAAACTCATAGAGTCGCCAAGCCGCTCGATCTTCAAACTTCTTGCCATCCGATGCCGTAAAAATCATCTTTTGACTAAACGTCTGTTCAAGCCAAAGATATGTGGTCCACAACACCATAGTAACTCACATTTTCTGACGTGGCATAAAAAACGTCGCCAATGCGGCCTCTCATTCTCCTCTGCTTTTGCTTGTATGCATCAACTGTAAATAGCGGGACTGATACCTCTTCAAGCTTATCGGAAGGTAGTAGTTTAGATGGTGCTGCGAGAATTTCAGAGGTAGCAGCTTCCGATTCCGTCTGTTTGTCCGAAGATTCGTGCCCCTCATCGCTTTCCTCGTCGACAATATCGACTCCAACTCCCCCACACAACGGACACATTGTGTTTGTTTCTATCGCTATTAAAGGTCATGCGCAACCACTCCTTCGTACGGCTAGTGAGATGAAAGATCGAGGATACCGCGTATCCTTTGCCACCCACGACTCAGGAGAGGAGTGGGTGCGAGCTTACGGCTTACCGTTTCTATCAGCAGGCGAGTTTCCGATCACAGCCAAGGAATTACGTCAAAAGTTACAAGCCATGACTCGAGATGCCTCAAATTTTCGAGGAATTTTGACCATGTTTAATGACATTTACGTTCGAGCTGCAAGGCCCATGTTTGATGCATTGTTATCTCAATTAGATGACACGGAGGTTAATCCTAACACACCGGATTTATTAGTAATTGATATTGCGTCCGTAGGCGCACAGTATCTCGCGCATAAGTTGGAAATTCCGTACATTTTGAATTCACCGTCGCTGTTGTTTGATCTGGGCGGAGCACCAAGTTATGTGCCTGCTTGGGGCACAGGATTTCATGAAAGCATGTCGCTCTGGAATCGATGTATGAATATTTTATTTCCAAGATTGCTATCGGTGGCATTAACACCACCATTTATGGAACTAAACAAGATGCGATATGAACTGGACCTACCACCGTTTCGGTCTCAACATGATTTGTTTAAAGGAGCTCGTATCATTTTGAACACGGCGTTTGGCCTTGAACATCCACAACCTCTTTCACCGCTCGTGGATGCAGTAGGACCAATTATGCCGGTACAAGGTGGAAGTGCGAGCAAGTTGGAGCGTCAGCCACTACCAGAAGCGTTAATGGATTGGCTAAATGATCCAATAATAATCACTTCATCGCTAAAGCAAACTGCAGCTCGAGTTCATTCCACAGAGAATGAAGCCGAGACGGGGGCTGGCAGTGTTGTGTATGTTAATTTCGGAACAACTGCGTATCTTGACGAATGGCAGGCAAAAGCCCTTATTGAAGGATTGCTTTCGGATGTTGAAGACCAACCAGTCAAGGTCTTATGGATTCTTCCAGCCGATCAACATAGTACTTTACCGTCGAGTGTCCCGCCTTCTTTTTTGATCAAAACACCAAATTTTTCGCTGTCAAATTTGGAAGTTCTTAATCACCCAGCTGTTAGTCTAGTCATTTCCCATTGTGGCATGGTCTCAGCACAAGAAGCGCTTGTGATGGGCAAACCGCTATTATGTATCCCCTTTTTAGTCGACCAACCAGACGTTGCGGCACGTGTTGCAGATTCCGGTGCCGGTATTCTGTTGGACAAGAATTTGTTGTCAGCTTCGTATATCCATGCAGCAGTTGCCGAATTGCGTACTAATGTAACGTACACACTAGCAGCCAAAAAAATTGGTGCCATATTGGAACGAGCAGGAGGAACCACACGTGCAGTTGAGATCATTGATGCAGCCTTACGATTGGGATTTGATCATCTGGCGACACTAAACACGATTGCTCCATGGCACAAGACTGCATTGTTAGATGTCTGGGCAGTCTACGCGGCACTTATCTGCTTGTCGGCCGTGTGCGTGCGTATGCAGTGGCTAATGTTCTATCGCACGGTATCCAAAACCATTCGTCTTGTACGCAATTTCACTCTTGGGTTGATTCGTCGTGCTACGTCAATGATGGAATCATATGACGAAGTTCCTGAAGACAAAGATGAGTAGCTTTGATGAATGTGTTACGAAATAGATTGGATGCCATCTTGTCTACACGGTATGCAATCTAATACAATTACATTGCCACAAATTCCCTGTCCATATATTCATTTGATCCGTCCAGAAAAGATGAAGTGCCATTCCTGTTATCTAAAAGTCTTTCGTTGAAATGCTGATGATCTGCGGCATGACAACATTACTGTTTGAAAAAATGGAGTGGTGCTGCAGCTTTAATGTCTAGCATTCGTCTTTTCGTTTGCCCACAGGTTTAAGCCACGTCTGAAGTGATCCACATGCCTGTTTGTTACTTTTACAAAAGCTCAACTGCTGTGCACCCCATTCTTTTCGTTTAGAAGCACTAAAATGACTCGACGACTTCGTTGAAGGTGCTTGAATTTTACCATTTTTTCTGACCTCAAGCGCTCTTTTCTTCTCATCTAGCGCAAAGTACTCATCCAATCCCCAAACCAAGCGTTTCTTTACTTCAATCTCCTTGATCTTTTTGACATCTTTCGTCTCATGGGCATGAATGACAAAACTATTTAGATCCAAACTCGATTTTTTCTTTGTTCGATGACATCGATTTGAACTAAAATATTTACTCAGTATCTTCTGACTCTGCTTAACGTCATTTTTCAAACTTGACTCATTGCGCTTTCTTTTATACGACTTCAGCTTGTTGTAATCGTTGGCTTTATCACTTTGCTTAGCATTCTCCACTCGACTTTTTTTCCGTAGGTAACCAATATCGAAACCCTTTTTCATTTCATGTTTTCTTCGAACATTGCTTCCCCAATGAATTTCTTGATCTTCCATAGCAAAAGCACATGGTACATGTCTTTTATCTTGTTCAACCGTCGCTCTTTCTTCTACCAATTTGATTTGACTACTGCTCATCTGTATATTTTTTGCTGCATGCACTTTCAAGTAATTACTCATGATGTTCTTGCTGCCATTATCCACTTTCTCCATTGCAATATGCTGTCTTGTCGACTCAATAGCATCTTCAAGACTCTACATCCCACACAACCAAACATCATAAATGAAAACAGCATCAACAGATCCAAACAATCGCTTTACCTTTTTTAAACCAGCATTCAATCGAGCAGCACATGTTTCGCCTTTCACTTTTCCATCAACGAGTCGAAAAGTCCGCAATTTTCTCCATTTCGCATCTACAAATGACAAATTGTTGTCACTAAGTTCTTCTGTTCTTCAAAAACATAGCTTTTGTACCATCCGATGATATTTCAACGTCGTTCCGATCCCGTTTTCTCTTGAGCATTATCGTCAATGGTAACCTAATGCACCAACCCGTCAACGTTGTCAGTAAATGCAGCATTCTATTTCATCGTCTCATATTTCGTGACGCACATTTCTTGAGTATCAACACGGATAGGAAACTCGTCGTTAAGATGGTCGACATGTAGAACTTTCGACAGACGATGGCCACGTGGGTCTCCAGCTACAAAGGCCTATTGAGGCAGATTATAAGATATTGGAGGAAAGTAACTGGTAGTCATAATGCGCACCATAGAGAAGTACTCAATTGTATCGCCAGGAAACAACGTCTCGGTCCGAAGCTCCGATGCCGAGAGCCCTACCATAGTCGGAGTATGTACGTGACAAACCTTTCTTAAATACTTTAAAATTAAGTTTAATTTGAACAAATTCACAGACTATAGAAAGCGACATCAAATTCTTCGCGTTTTTTGTAATGTCCTGATTGAGTACTAAAGTGACCTGCTAAGATGACAACGTCCTCGATCATACTCCTTGTATGACCGTGCATGATCGATTACTTTGTGCAAATCGCCTCTTTTAAACATTTAGAACACAATGCAATGGCTTCCGCACAATCCTCCAATACTTGACTTACGTCTTGCAGAAAAGATTACGTTGAGAAATCATGGATAGTATGATCACTTACTGCATTTAAAGCTTCCTTGGATGGCCGATCAAAAAATTGAGCACACGAATTTTTCGCCAATTTGTATAACCTCAGCTCCGAAAACCAGCTCAAGGCAAACACAGCATTCAAGATTTTTATCAGCCGTCGCAAGCATGCTCTTGAGGATAGCGAAGTTGTTACTGCCATGATTACACGCGAAACAAGCATGTAATTGACTTCTGTACAACCAACAACATGTGCGTATTCCACTGTATCGTCTGGCATACATTATAAAGCGCTGCTGCTATTACTGAAAGATCCTCAGAAATTCAGACTTGGATGAAAGCGCTACTGAGATTCCAAGGAAATAAATTATACGCTGAGTCTGTTTAGAGGCCTGAATATTATTGACCTGCAACAGCTTGATGAGGTTGATAACTGCATCCAGATTGGTATTATGTATATATCATGAATGTGGCCTCCGGTGCAAGAGTTGACCGAACAAGGAGTATGAAGCTATGGATATCCTGTCACACGAGAATGAGCATCGTTCTCCCTCAGTCTAAGTGCTAGTGTCTGCATAGGAATTTTATTTTCTGTGAGCGGCGAAGAGTTACAAATCACAAGAACGATCAGTGCGAGATTGTGAATATTGAGAGCTTATGATCAGTTTTGTTGAGGATACAGCCTTCACGATGTAATGTGGCAGAGTTGCAAC